TCATCCATATTTATATATATATATATTTTTTTTTTCTTTTTTTTGAGACAGGGTCTCACTATGTTGGCCAGGCTGGCCTCAAACTCGAGGCAGTCCTCTTGCCTCAGCCTCCCCAGTGCTGGGATTTACAGGCATGCGCCACCCCAGCCAGCGAGAGTTTATATGTTTGTATATTATCTCAACCAGAAAGGTGAAGGAGAGGAAGAATATCTCTGATGGGGATAGTTTCTAAGATATCCACTTCCTGTCCTCCAGTGTGGGCCAGGAGAATCAGTCCCTCAGTCACTGTGAGATCTCAGGCAGGCCTTCAACTTTGCCCGGCCTTGTCATCTGTCCCCCAGGGAGACTGGACAACATAGTCACCATTGTTCCTTCTGCTCCCTGAGGCACTCGCCCCGCACCACTCTTGCCCCTGGGTGATGGGCACTCGAGTGGGCAGGGGAGTGGTGAGCTGACTGCCCCTCAATTCTGGCTGCAGCCTGAGGTGGCAGGTGCCTCTCTGTTCTTCTCCTGGCATGGGCAGTGAGAGCCCAAGGTCACCTGCCCTCTCCACAGCCGCAGAGGCCCAGATCAATGGCACCTGGAGACCCGGAGAACAGAGTCCAAGGACAACAGAGCCCTCTGGGAGCCCAGGACAGCTCTGAGCACAGGCAGTGCTGGAGGCCAGGCTGAAGGCAGGAGCCCGAATTCTCTCCTCTGGCCAGTCCCAGGAGCACCTTCCAAGGCCCTGACGGGCGAGCGCTAAGGGACACTGCCTAAGAAAATGGATGTGTGTGTGGGGTGAGCCCTCAGGAGCCCTGGGGACCCTCCTCCTCCTCGCAACCTCGAGGGCCCACATTCACGCTCAGAGGGAGAACCCAGGAGCCTTCGGGAGAAGAGATGTCAAGGTGGACACTGTTAAATTGGGAGGGGAACTTGCAGGTGTTCTGCTCCTTGGTCCCCAGGCCTGGCCGCACATTTGAGACCTTAAGGGAGCATTAGTTGATGGTGCTGGAGCCCCAAGTCAGAGTTTCTGACCTGTTCATCCAGGGATGAGGCCCTAGCAATTGCTACTTTGTAGATGTTCTCCAATTGATTCACACATGCAGCCAGGGTTGATAAATTGCTCTGAACACTTTGAAGGCACCGTCTCTTTCAATCCTCACAGAAGCCCTGGGTTGGATACTGAGTGAGGAAACCAACTGGGAAGGGTTACATGGCTTCTCAAAGTTAAACAGCCAGTCCTAGAGCGGGAACCCAAAACCCACCAGTCCCCGAAATCCTTCACTCTTCAACTGCTTTCTTTCCTGAGGATATCACTGCCCAGAAACTGTGGCTGCCCAAGGCCCAGTAGTGGAGAGGACAAGCCGGGGTGGGAAGCTGAGCTCCCTGCCATCCTAGGCCTCCTCGGCTGGGCTGGAGATGGACAGGCTCACTGGGTTTCCTCAGGGTCCTCAGTGGCATGCTGCTTGCGCCTTCAGGGAGGGTGTGGAGCTGGACGTTTACTCCCAGGTTGGCTCCCTGGCAGTTTAAACTGGTTGCTATGTGCTCCTCCCCAGGGAGCCCATGCAGGAAGCTGTTGATCTTGCAGGAGGCCGTGCCCCAGGCGCTGCTTCCGGTGGCCTTGGGAAGCCCCTCAGGCCTCCAAGATCCCAGCCCAACAATCGGGGTGTGAAGGCAGGATTTCCTCTGGCCAGAGGTTGGGAGCTGGCACTGGGGCTGGGTAAGAACCCAGCACAACAGTTGTGGACTTGGATGGCACTTCCTGCTTCCTCAGGGCGCCTTCTGCTCTAGGTCTTCTAACTCTGAGGGGGATGCCTCAGGAATACTTAACCACCGTGAACCTCCCTCTGAAAGAGGGTCTTACCGGCTCACACTTACGGTGCCCCTGCGTCTCGCTGGGCAATGTTCCACACATTCTGTGGGTTATCTCACCAATGTAAGCACCATGGTCCTCATCAAAGGGGCCTAACAAAACCCACCTCCTGGTCTTCTGAGGATTAAATTAGTCTCAATTAACCAGAACCTGGCACCTAGGAGAAAACAAAAGTTAAACTGTTTGCCTCAGGTTGTGCATCAGTCAAGGCAGGGCGAAGATTTGAACCTGGCACTTGGACTTGAGAATTCACACTCCTGACCACTGCACCAAACTGTCCCTTTCTGCCAGAGCCACTCCTTGGACAGGGAATGCAGCCACCCTTGGGAGCAAGCCAAAAGGGTTGAGCCCCACGTAGAACTGCAGTAGGACAAGACGAATACTGTTTGGCAGGAGACTGGCCAGGGCCAGGTGAAGATCTGGGGTGCAAGAACCCAGGCATGAATGCATCTCCACAAACCCAGTCCCTGAGTGCACAGCGCGGCCACAATGACTGCTGTGTGGCAGGCAAAAGTCAGTGCTATCAGGTGACCGGAGGAGGCTGGCAAGCTCTAGTGGAACACTTAGAAACAGCAGAGCCCGGTTCCCCATGAGAACCAGTGTGATGTGGGAAAGCAAGTGCTTGGCTGAGAAGTCTAAGTGCAGGGGGTGTGGCAAGCAAGGACTGGGAGGGGAGAAGGGCCAGTCATCAAACAAAGGCTGCGGGACAGCTGAAACAGAAAAGGGTGGAGAGAACCGTTGTGAGGCAGCCACAAAAATGCCCAGAATGAAGAGGGCCAAACAGCAGGGGCATGTCATGTTCCTCACACAAGCATCTCGCGTTGCATCCCCGAGAGACATGGTGCACTCAGCTGATGAGCCAAGCCCGGCCTGTCGGGACCACTTCTGGGGAAGTCACAGAGCCACCACCTCGGAGAGGGGCCCACTGGGCTGCACCCGCTGGGCTGCTAGGCTCACGTGACCCGAAACTTGCTGACCTGGGGAAACAGTCTACAGAGGTCACCAGCAAGTCTGGGGGTGCGTTCCAGGCCATGCTGAGAGCCTGGGGCTGGGTAAATTCTCAGGGACATTTGGGTATGGCTTGTGGCACTGGGTGCCCCTCTAACAAAGCTACCACTGTGTGCAGGAAGGAAAATCTGTTGAGGAATTTCCTGTACTGCTTATTTATGGGAAGCAAGACAGATTGCCTCTGTTGCTGAGTGAAAACATTCCTAGAGCAGTATAAAAATACTTCAAGTCTGGGTGGAATCAGCTGAGACAACACATGGAATAAGGAAGGACAGGTGAGCCTCCACAGTGTGGTCGGCATTATTCCCAGAACTTTACCTGTATCATTCCTCTTAATCAGGCCTACCAGCTCTGTGGCATGGCAGCATTATTTTAGTCCTGCAGCTGAATAAATTGTTACAGTGCCCAAATTCAGAGCTAAATTAACATATTTAGAAGTCTTAAGAGCTGAAAAAATTTTGGTGCCTGCCCTCACCATCTAATGCAAAATAAATAGACACTGACCCATAAAATAGATGTGGGGAAGTCCAATGCAATTCTAATTTTCCCCATGAAGACGGCTTTTCTTCACATTTTTCTGAAATTATTTTATAATGCTGTCCTCATCTTTCGTGCCTTTTGGGCCCACTTCACTGGTAACCTAAGTACCCAGGGTAAGGCTCGAAGCCACCAACCTTAACTCAGCCTACCTTCCGAATACCTAGCTCTGCAACAGTGGGGTTCAGACTCAAGGCCACTGCTAGGATCAGGACCGGGGAGGGGGAAGTGAGGCTGGGGTTCATAAGCAAGGGCCAGAGGCTTTGGGCTGGGTTAGGTGCCCCAGCTCAGTT